CCCCAAAACCCCAAAACCCCAAAACCCCTAAAGGAGAAAGATAGATTGAAAAGTAAATTCTCCAGGTAAATTTTAGGTTAGTCCATACTAGAACTAGACGATGAAGAGTTATCTCTCTCCTCCAAGATTAAATCAATACTGGAGATATTATTGTTCAGAACTATTTTGGTTTCCTCGAAGAAGCTCTATAAATAATTTATCAGATATTTACCTCGGTCTTTTCCTCTTCAAAATGGGGTAAGAATTGGAATGCTGGATTTTTAAGGCGTTCGCCCCATTTTTGCCATAGCTCTGCATTTGGGCCAAAATCTCCTTCACTAAACTCATTTTCCAGACCTATAATATCATTTTCCCTAAAAAGCTTACCTCCTCTTTCCCTATTAGCTGGTGTTAGCCTCATGCTCCTTTCAAGCTGTGGGGTTCTTACCAAATCTGTTCTCCTTGAAACCTGAGCACTGTGTCTAAAAATTGGACTGTTCTCATTAGGTAGCACTTCAAGCTCTCTTTGTTGTCATTCTCTAAGCACATAATGAACTAAATTCTCACTAGAGATATTGCAAATTCAGATAAAAGTGAGGAACAGAATGATGCCCACTATAAATGTGGCTATAAACTGGTCATTGAAGTAGAAAAAGAGGATTATGACTCATTGGTAGAATAGCAGGGATACAATCAACATTGTAATCACTCGCTTGTAAAGATACACACTTGAATCCATCTCTTTCTTATGTACACTTATTAATAAGTGAGAGTCCACCAGAAGCTTGAGATAGTAGAACATTGACCCGAGAAGAGCGATCACAGGGGCTGTAGAAGAGAATAGAACTATTATGGTGAAAGCTGTCACTATCTGGCTGTAGAAATAACCGTATTGGAACACAGCCTCTGGGTTCCTCCTCCATCCCTGATCTGAGTTAAATTTGTCTCTGATGTAGGTTCAATAGTATGGAGATAAATATCCATTTATCAAATCTCCAAGCCTAAGGAGATAGAAAATTGACCCAAAAATGGATAATTGAGTGATCAGTTTTCCAAAGAATGGAGTTGAATCCAACATCGTAAAGTCTTTAAACTGTACCTTTGTTGATTCCCCTGCCACTAAAAGCTTGTAGATCGGAATTTCTTGCAAGCTTAGGAATGGAAATAATACCATATTAAGATGTAGATATATCGCTGCTTTATTATACACAGATTTTTGATAATTATGATGAAATGAGTGTCTCTCCATGAGAGCTACCTTGTCAATTAACACCAAAAGTATCAAATTTATCAACAGGATGATCAGCGTTGGGATGTACTGAGAATAGTGCTCAACAAAAGGCAAGTACTCTAATAACCTAAAATTCAGATTTTCTTCTGCTATATTTTTGAGTGTATGGAAGAATACTGCAGGCGTGGAGACAAATAAAATTAGTATGATACCTAGGATATTCCATAAGTATTTCCTTAAAAAATAAAAACCTCTTTTGCCACCTCTATTGAACCATATTACATTTACAGGATCTGTCGGAAGAGATGCGATAAGTCATATCCCATTTCTCTTATACTCTTTAGTCATAAGTTGGCTCTCTTCCTCAATGAAAGAGATAGACCTCAGGATCCTCTCATCTGGCTTCTTCTTACATAAATTCTTTCAATCAAGCCAGATACTATTTACAATGAAACATAGTCGAATCTTTAAAGTTCTCCAAGCATCGCATCATGCTTGAGTATGAGTCAAAAACAACATAAGCATGACAACTTGATTTGAAGTTATTTCTTCATCATCTTAGATAACTTTTGGTCCAATTTATCCCTCTTCCTCTTCAAATACTCAGGTTCTCTCTTCCGTCTGGGCTTTCATCTCCTTCAGAAGGGCTCCTTCCACCCATTGAGTTCTATCTTCTCATTCAGCGTTTCTCTTCGGTCAATGTATTTAGTTATCTTTCTATTGCTGTCAACTACATGAACTCCAGTTAGCTCGGGCTCTGAGCCATTGTAGCTTCTATAAATTATCCAGCTCACTTACCTTGACTTATGAAAGTCATATTCGACTTTTAACAGTTTTCCTCCGAACTCCTCAATTTTATCATTAATGATCTGCTCTCAGAGCTTTCCATGCTTATCGCTCTGGAGAAGACCACGGATATATAAGGTGTGTGAGTTCAACCAATCTGTGCTGTAATCTGAGAGGATTGACCGAATCGTTCTTCTCTCATAACTCATGACTCTCTTGAATAAGCTCTTAAGATTTGCTCGTAATTTCAGCACTGTTAAAACAGTTCACATAGTAACGATAAAACATAAAGTCGTCTGTAGATAAGCAGACGCGTTAGATGATAGGTCCAGTCTACTCCCAAAGAATATATCAAAAAAGACTCGTGCTAAACTTTCCTCTCTGATACTTTTGAAGAGCTCTGACCAATGATTAAATATATTAAAAATGAAGGTGAACAAAAATCTAGAAATTATGGAGACCATACTTACATGATTATACTTAATCTTCCTAAGTATTTTAATAACACTAAGTAAAGGTAGGCGTCAGGGCTTATCCCTCTCCAGAAATCTCCGTTTAAGCTCCATGTCTTTGATAGTACAAATCTCCAATATTTGATAAAATTCTTCTGACGCTCTACTTCTTGCATTGATTCTATTCTTCCAATGAACTGAGTGTTCCTATCGCTGCTCCCTTTTGGGTGATAAATGTCATAGCCGAATCTCTTTAGCCAGATGCAGTACCAGGCTACTACTGAGATAATGATAAGCCCGAAATGGAATAATAGGAAGAAAATAAATGATGTAATGGTTTCATGATGATCAACCTCCTCTTCTCTCATATTTATATTCTATTCAATCCTATGACTAATTATGGGGTTTTGGGGTTTTGGGGTTTTGGGGTTTTGGTGGTTTGGGGTTT